TCTCTCAATCCTTTGAAGATACCTAAAGATAATTCTTTTGAATTCCTTATCAGAGAGTTCCAATGCTGCTTCTTCCTCAGGGATGTGTTCTGTGTCTGTATCCTGCTCCCTTGTTTCTACCACTTTATCCTGCTTCTTTGTGTGGACTGTGATGGTCTGTCGTTTCCAAGGCATTGTGGTGTTGTTGTATTTAGATCTCTATTAACTGTTTGTGAAGAGCAGTCAAGGTTGATTCTGGCTCTTCTTGGTGGTTTTTTATCATTGGCTCATTAGTGGAGAAAGAGGTAGTGGCTCATGCTCAGTAAGTGAAGTTGCAGGAGGTGTGGGTGTAGTTGTGTCCTGTGGGGACTGATGTTGTCTCCCACTCAATTAGACACAAATCACAATCGAATAACCTTCAAAAAACTTGTCGGTCTTGCAGGTCCCGAGTGTCCTTGGGTTACTGGAAAGCAGAATGTTTTCTTAAGCCCCAGGAATCAGCGAGAGTGCTGTGTCTTTAAATATCCAAAGCAGTCAAGCTGCTTTTTAAACCTACAAAATGGCAGTGCCCTCCATCCACCAAAAGTCCACAGCTCAGCCCACCTTTCTCTTCACCTTCTCCGTTTGTTCCTCAGCCACCATGCACAGTCCTCTGTGCAGTTCCTGGTTAGCAGGGTGATTTTTAGGTAATTTTCAAGTCCTACCACCATTCGGGAATCTCCACACTGTCTGTGCTGTCAGGATCACTCAGGATCGCTGCCAGACCGCAGCTCTGTCTGTCTCCTTTTTTGGTATTTTCACATTGCTGCTAGTTGGGGTTTAGTCCACTTCTATATCCTTCCCTTCAAGGCTCAGGGGTCCAGGATTATCTTCTGTGCCTGTGTTAATTGGTTTCCCTTTTGTTTGTTGAAGAGGGTCTGTGCAGTCTTTCTGCCTAGTCCACCATCTTGCCGGAACCCACTTGGCTGGAAGTTTTAAGGTATTTGGAAATAGGAAACATGGTTTGTTGCAAGATTCTGTGTCTAATAGAGTAAAGCAATCATCAGGAAAATACACTGAGAATAGAGAAACTTCTCCACTGGGATCCAGAGAAGAAGACACTGTTAAGTTGGTAAGGTTATTATTCATTACCCACAGGCTTATTCACAGGACTGCTTAGTCAAAAACCCCTTATATGCTGAAGCTGAAAGATAAGAATGATGGTGCCACTGTCACTGCTGGAAACCCTACTCTTCATTGAGGATATCTTAAATGCTGTACTTGTCACATGAATAACCAGAGTAAGTGTGCTAGTAACAATGTAGAAGAAATATCGGTGAAATATATATATATTTTTTTTTTCTCTCAAAAGATAAAAACATACAAATAGAAGTTATTTTCAACCCAAACTCCCATTGATTGCCTTACACACATTTTTTTTTTATTCCATTTTACTAATGCCCATGTACTCAATTGGGAGACTGGATCCAGCAAGGAATGACAATGGGCGCAGACTTGGTTAATGTAAACAAGGAGCAAGGATCAGTGGGCTTCATTCAGAGCAGCTCCAGAGGCAGTAAAGCATCTGCTGTACTTTTCCAGCTTCAATAAATGAACGTGCACTCAAATACCATGCTTTCCTGAAACTATAGAACTATTTTCTGACTGCATGAATTCACTAAACCATCCAAACCATAGGCAATTCAGTAGTCTAGATAATGAACTTCTCAAGTTAGAAAACTTTTCTATATTGTTGCTTTCTTATCACACCCAGTAAAGTGCCTAAAACATATAAAGTGCTCAGCATAAACATTTGCTGAAAGAACCAAATCAGAAAACAAAAATTACCTCCTGAATAAACTACTGATTTTGGTGCTTCACATAGACACAATGAAAAGCATTGAAGTGAAAGCATTGTAACATAGAAATTATGTTTATCCCCTTGAGGGGGAACTTCTGCATGTTCTATGTTTTATTTTATTTTTTTTATTAAAAAAAAAAGCATTGTCATTCTAAAGAAATTAAAATATCAAGAATATATAGATGCTCAGGTGCTATTAAATCATATAGAAATAGAATTAGGACACAGTTATGGAAATTGTACTTGTGGTGGATAAATATGGTGGCCTCTCATAAGTACTTCAACAAGTGACAAGATCAGAATGGCAGCCAGGGGTCGCCAATTCATAGAGAGCTGTAAGATGAATAAAAGAACACAGTGGTCCTACACGCTAGCTAAATGGCAGTTAGAGAAGTATTGCTTTATTTATATACTCAAAACAAATCAAGGATGGATGATCAGGAGGGTGATGGATTATCAGGCAGTTAATTCAATAAAAGAGATACAATGCCCTGCCCAGTTATTAGACCATTATCTTTCTCCCTTTGTCTGAAGAAAAAGCTAGGTACCTATGATGAATGACCTTACAACACAAGTGTATTCAGTCCTTCTCCTAAAAAAACTATACATGCAACTGTGCACTGGGGAGAATGAATGTCTGGATCTTTTGAGAACTGCTGAACATAGTGTCTTTATCAACATTGATACACAGAAACCCGGAGTGTTACTATGGTCCTTTGTTAGAGAATGGGTAATGGGAGGCCAATTCATTAAGTAGAGACCTAGTCTAAGTCCAGTTCATAGTGAAAGTAGAGTCAGTGGACCTGCCCTGTGGTTATTTCTCTAATTCCCAAGTACATGATTGAATGCAGTGTTGGCAGAACCACACATTGGTACCTTGAACTGTGGGATAAAAGTTATTGTGGTGGGGAAGGCCAAAAGAAAATCTCTCAAACTTCTTCCCCAACCTGGCATCCAAGACAGTAAATAATAGTAATAATAATAATCACTGCATCTGAGAGAAAATGGCAAAGATTCTTGCCCCTCTATGTTAAAAACAAACAAACAAACTCACTGCCATCAAGTTGTTTCCAACTCATAGTGACCCCCATTGGTTTCTGAGGTTGTAAGTCTTTACGGAAGTAGATCACCCAGTGTGCTTTCTGCAGAGCAGCTGGTGGGTTTGAACCACTGACCTTCTGATTAGCAGTCAGGTGCCTTAACTACTACAACACCAGAGCATTAATTCACCAGATGGTACCTAGAAAAAAATGATTGGATCATGGCAGATGACAGTGATCCATCACAAACTTAACCAGGTATTTACTTGGTTACTTGGAACAGCAGCTGCACCTGCTGTTCCAAATTGGCTGTATCGGAATATTTGTCAGAGTAGATTAACACAGACTTCATATTTGGAATCCTTGGATGGTGCAAATGGTTAAGCATCTGGCTGCTAACTAAAAATATGGAGAATGAAGTCCACCCAGAGGTGCCTTGGAAAAAAGGCCTAGTGATCTAGATTTCAAAAATCAATCATTAAAAATCCTACGGAACACACTTATACTCTGACACATATGGGATCACCATGAGTCAGAATCAAAGCAACTGGTTTGGTTTGGTTTGGTTGTTTGTGGTTTGTAGCCATTGTTCTGGATAATGAGCTCTTTTCCATTCCTATCAGTAAGGAGAATCAAAGCAGTTCCAAACTCTCTTGTAACAGACAACAGCAAACATTTATGGCTTTGCTCCAAGGCTGTGCTAACTTTCCCTCTCTCAGTCATAAAATAGTCTGGAGGGACCTGAATTGTCTAGATGATTGGTTTTCAACCTGTGGTCAGTGGACCCCAGGAGTCCTCAAGACTCTTTCAATGGATCTTCAGAGTAAGAACTTTTTTCGTAGTATTAATATTATAAGTATTAATAGCTTACTAATATTAAGATATTATATGATTACTTTCCACTGTGCTTGCATTTGCATCAGTGGTGCAAAACCAATGATCATGAAACTGTGGGCACCTAAACACAAAGCAGAGAGTGGCAATAAACTGTAACAGTGGTCCTTCACCTTTACACGCTCACAGCAAAGGGAAAATGCCAGTATCATTTGAAAACGTCTTAGCAAAGCAGTTAAAAACATAAATTTTACTAAATCTTGACCTTTCAATACACATCTTTTTAACATTCGGTAAGAAATTGTAAAGTACACATACAGCACTTCTGCCATGTACTGGAAGATGGTTGTCTCAAGGAAAAGCACTTGTGTGATTATTTAAGTTTTATGTAGAGCTAGCAGGTTTTTTCAGAAAATATAATTTTTATTTGAAAATCTACCAACAGATAAAATATCATTATTTAGTCTTAGGCAGACATTTTCTAAAAAATGAAGTCAGCCTGTCACTTTAAGAAAAATAACTGACAGTATTTGTTGTCCATAATAAAATTTGAGCTTTCAAGTGAAAATTAGAATTGTGGATAACTCATCTCTGCCACTGTGAACTTGATAGCTTCCCAATACTTAATGACCTTTCTGAAGAGATTGGTG